CCCTCCCTCCCTGGGAGTCCAGGCGCTTCAGTGAGCAGTGCACCAAATTTCAGCTGGGCTCCTCGAAAGACAAATTGCAGGGGGCCAATCTAGTGTCCAGGCTGGCTACAAGACATTCATTCTTGGCCGTACTTGAGATTCCTAGCTCCAATGGACAGCAAACCTAGGGTTGACCCTGAGCGCTTCTCTCTGCTAACAGGCGGCCAAGCTAAGTGCCTGAAGGACCCCATCCCGTCACTAATTTCTATTAGTGGTCCAAAAGGATTTAAAATTATGAATTTAGTGGTCCCTGAGGTCTGAAAGATTGGTGATTCCTGGAGTTTGATCCTGACCAGTTCAAGGTCGATTCGGCCTTCCATCCTTCCGAGGTCAATAAAATGAAGACCCGGATTGTTGGGGGGCAATATGTTGACTCTGTAAACTGCTTAGAGAGGGATGTAAAGTATTGTGAAGCGGTATATAAGTCTAAGCGCTATTGCTAGGGCTAGTGCCCTCTCTCCCTCCCTCCCTCCCTTCCTTTCAGGGTGCACAATACTTAGAATGCAGTATTGCAGGCTAATTCTGCTGACTGTCAGCCGTTCGATTCTGACTGGCTCAAGATTGACTCAGCTTTCCATCCTTCTGAGATTGGGAAAATGCGTACCCAGATTGTTGGGGGCAAGAGGCCGATTCTGTAAACCGCTTAGATACGTACAGCACTATGAAGCCGTATCTAAGTGCTATTGCTAAGTGCTGTTGCCCATCTCTGACATGTTTTGGATCTTTCCAGTTTTAATTTGCCCATTTGACTATTTTTTACTGAATCAGAGTAAACCCTTTTTGCCATTATCTTGAGAACTTTCTCTCCTGATGTTGTTTCTCTCACCTGACTAGACAGCTGCAATTATGCGTTGCACGCCAAAGAAGGGAAAGTGATCAGCTTTGCCACGCCAGGATTCCCAAACAGCCCTTACCCATCCAACATGCGCTGCTTCTGGGCGCTGAGAGCTGATGCCAACGCAGTCATTAGCCTGACCTTCACTAGCTTTGACGTCGAGGGATGCAACCAAGGCAAGGATTTTGTCAAGGTGTACAACTCTTTGAGCCCAGTGGAAGAACGCTCGCTGGTGAAGTAAGTACATTGGCTACAGCATGACGTGCTCTCTTGGGGAGAAATAAGGATGGGCTCCTGGGGGCATAATTGGCAGGAGCCTGAGGTAGACTTCAGTTTTCATGGCTTCTTCTGGGTTGCCCTGTTACTGATACCTACTCTGATGGGGAAAGAGATTGTCAAATATGCATTGCTTAGTCACTAATCGTTCTTCTTCTCCTCCTCCAACTTCCTCCTTCACCTCTCCTTCCTTCCCTCCCTCCCTCCCTCCTTCCTTCCTATCTTCCTTCCTTCCTTCCTATCTTCCTTCCTTCCTATCTTCCTTCCTTCCTNGCTGAGTGAATTTGGGCCAATCACTAGGAAACTGTGAGTTCTAGTTTTGTCTTAGGCATGAAAGCCCCAGCTGGGTGACTTTGGGCTGTTCACTAGGAGACTGTGACTTCTAGTCCTGTCTTAGCCATGAAAGCCAACTGGGTGACTTTGGACTAATCAGCCCAATCCACCTAACAGAGTTGCCATTGTGGGGAAAGCATATTAGGTATGTTTGTTATCTTAACATTGCCAAGTCTGGGGAAAAAAATACTGTTTTAGACCTTGAAACCATTGATCCAGGGGTGAAATGCTACCGGTTCGGACCCATTCGCCTAAACCGATAATAAAAAATGCTACCGGTTCGCCTGAACCGGTAGCTTTGACAATCAGCTGTGCAACAATCAGCTGTGCTGCACAATTTCTAATGTGCAGGCACATGCAAAACAAACCGGTAGCAGACTTCAGAGCATTTCACCCCTGCATGGCTCATAGTAGAATATTCTACTACAGAAATCTTGTTTTTTTGCCACCCTAATTATTTAAGCTGGGTGTTAACCTATCTGTCTTTTTCTCCCCTTCACACAGTGAGGGCAGTGTGCTTGCTTACTTCTTGTCCACGTTCAGTGTTCCTAAATACAAGACGGATATTCTTGAAAATGCCATGGCCAATTTCCATAATTTAAAACTATCAGGACCGGGAAGAGGGCGTTTGAAGGAATTTCACATTGAGTCTCTCACCGCTTTTCGTAAGTCTCTCTTTCTTTTTGTTCTGCTCTTCCCACATAACCAAGCTTGGTGGAGTATTTGCACTAGTCACCAGGGAAAGGTTGAGCTTTGGGGTGTGTCAAAGCAAAGGAAACCTTTAAAAGGTGACATTAGTAGAAAACAGCAGAGTAAATCTCATCTGAATAAAGGTGAATATAAGTGTCCCAGGATAATGTGGCAAGATCCACTCTGGGTCGGTTACGGGGGCCAGAAGTTGTGTCTTCTGAGTTTTTGGAATCGTGCTGGAGCCCATCCTGAGGGAACTTCTCTCTACCAGAATGTGGTATCTAATCTAATACTCCCACTTCTAATGTCTCAACAATCCAGAGGACTGAAACGCAACCATATTTTTTTTAATTTGCAAGAGTATAATTGGACTTGAGTTGATGAGGAATGGTCAGAAAACTCATGTTAAAAGAGAGATTTCTAAGAATCAGTCTGGAGGGGGCGGGATTACAGATTAACAGAGTTGGAAGGGACCTTGTTGGTCATCCAATCCAGGCTTGGAGGCCTTCTAGACCAACCCCATGCCCAAGCAGGAGACCCTACACCATTTCTGGTGGATAGCAGTCCAGTCTCCTCTTGAAAGCCTCCAGTGATGAAGCTGCCACAACTTCTGAAGGCAACTTCTGTTCCATGGATTGATTGTTCTCCCTGTCAGAAANGGGGGCAATATGCTGACTCTCTGTAAACCGCTTAGAGAGGCCTGAAAGGCCTATGAAGCGGTATATAAGTCTACTGCTATTGCTATAAAAAAAACTCTACTTTCTGTTACAATCTGTAACCCAATTTTACGCATGATGGCCTTTTGATGGAGTCTTGCAAAAATCAGCTCCAGTGTTGAAGCAAAGCTATCATGAAAGATAGTGTTGCATAGGAAACTTGCATTTTCTCTTTTCCTCCTCAGAATGTCCTCCTGATAGCTTCAAGTGCAATAATGGCAATTGTATCCCAATGCAGCAGAAATGCAATGGAAAAGCAGACTGCGAAGACGGCAGCGACGAGGGGGAGTGTGGCTCCGGTAAAGGCTCTAGAGTGGGGATAAAGCTGTGAAAAATGTGGTTTGTAAGCAGGGAAGATTTGGGTATGTCTAGTTTGACGAAGCTGGAATTGGGTGTGTCTAGTTTGATGAAAAGAAGGGGGACACATGATAGCAGTCTTCCAATATCTCAGGGGCTGCCACAAAAAAAGAGGGAATCAAGCTATTCTCCAAAGCACCTGAAGTGATGGAGCTCATCCCAAATGCATGTATGCGTAGAGAGGAGAGGAGAGCAACAGGAAAACAATAAGCCGGCTCTCAGGGAAAGGCAGAGACAGACGATAGCCAGCTCCTCACTGGCTGGGAAATAAATAGGAGGGGTTTGGGAGGGGCTGGTTGTCACCGACAAATGTTTGTTTCTAGTACAAAGCAAGCAATTCAGATTCCTTGGCTAAACCCAGGTTTGTTGAGACTAATTACGTTTGATTTTTTTGTTTATCCCTGCAAATAAACAACTGTTACTGCCCTGTTATAAAAGGGGGCTTGTTTTACTCGTGAATAAATGCCTTATTCCTACTTGCAAAGGTTGGATCAGAACAGTCCTCCTCCTCTGACATCATATTTTTATCTCTCTTTGCTTTATCCAAAGTGGACACCGTTACCTGTCAAGCATACACCTACAAATGCCGCAACAATTTGTGTGTGAGCAAGAAGAATCCCGAATGTGATGGAGCGGCAGACTGTAGTGACAAATCGGACGAAGAGAATTGCAGTGAGTTCTGATTATACCAAGATAGCAAGAAAGTGGATAAGCTGAGAAGTGAATGAATTCACACATGTAGCAATCTTGGAAAATTAAACGATTAATTTTCAGTATTGATTAAGGTATTAAATTATGGAACGTGCAGAGATGGATAGGTTAACCCTAAAAATTAAAGGAAAAGAAGATTCAGATTATTTTACAACATGGGGAGTATTTTTACAATTGCTTAAATGGCAGATATTGAGGTTAGAGGAGTGGAGTTAGGTGAAATATGGTCTACATAAGAAAGCAAAACAGATGAGTAAATAATTTGATGATTGTATAATCAATAATGAAAGGTAGTATATGTTGTAAAGATGATTGATATTATTGCATATTTGTTTATATATGTATATATGTGTGTATGTGTGTGTGTGTGTGTGTATATATGTGTATGTGTATATATATATATGTATGTATATATATATATATATATANAAGCAACTTAGAACTAAGGAGAAATTTCCTGACAGAACAATTAATCAATGGAACAACTTGCCTCCAGAAGTCGTGAATGCTCCAACACTGGAAGTTTTTAAGAAGAGATTGTATAACAATTTTAACTGAAGTGGTGTAGGGTTTCCTGCCTAGCAGAGGGCTGGACTAGAAGACCTCCAAGGTCCCTTCCAACTCTGTTATTCTATTCTATTCTAAAATATATCTCACCAGATCACACACTGTTTGATGGAAATTGAATGTTACATAAATAAAACAAATAAAATGGGAACAAAGAAGAAGAAGAAGATAAAGAGTGAAAAATAGACAGGCTAGAGAGGGAGAAAGTCTTGAGGATAACAATGCATCAGGGACACAATTATTTTTCCCTCACACAGGAGATGTTGTGATAAATAACACCCTCTCCCTCCTCCACCACACTTCTGGAGATTCTAATAATGCTTCCTAATGAGAACTGGGGCTGAAATTGGACGGGGTTGAGCTGATGGACAGGTGTGTACAGGTAGCCCTAATTGGTCTCCTGGGTTATAGCCATGCTTTTGAATCAGGCTCTTAACAGTTGACGTTATCTTATTAATGGCCATTATGCACAAATGCCTCTCTTCTGGTCACCAGTAAGGCTCATAAGATTCTGTTTTCTCCCTCCACACCGGTTCTCCCTCACTCGATTGCAGCTTGTGGCGGAGTTTTGAAAGGCATATCAGGGAATTTCACCACTCCGTACTATCCAGCCTACTACCCTCCAAATCTGGATTGCGTGTGGAATATAGAGGTAAGAATTCCAGTGTACTAATTCTCTTTTTCTTCTGGGGCCCGTAGCATGGACTAAGGGAGAGCCTTTCTAACTTGTGGATCTGGCTAATTATCAAGGTGTTAAATCAAGAGTTGAAAGGCCTTTTCTGGGTTGTATTCTTAAAAGTCTGAAAACAAAAAAAATAAATCATGTCAACTCAACAATGGAGAACCAAACCCTTTTTTATCACTACTATTTTGTCTCAGCTTCTGCCAACCTAGCAGTTCGAAAGCATGTAAAAACGCAAGTAGAAAAATAGGAACCACCTTTGCTGGGAAGGTAACAGCGTTCCGTGTGACTTCGGCATTTAATCATGCCGGCCACATTACTATGGATATGTCTTCGGACAGCGCTGGCTCTTCGGCTTTGAAACAGAGATGAGCACCACCCCCTAGAGTTGGGAATGACAGCACATATGTGCGAAGGGAACCTTTACTTTACCTTAGACACATCACTAGAAGCCGAAAATCACAAGACTGTGTATTATTTACTTTGGGTATGTCATGTGTGCAAATTCATTAGAGAAGACAATGAGGCTAGGAATGATTAGTGGAGCAAGAAGAAGGAAGAAAGAATTGGCTTGGATCCCATCAAAACAATCCAACACATTGGCTTGATCCCATCAAAACTGATACAATGATGAACATCCAACAACTGAAAAAAGTTACGATTGACGGGGTAACATGGAGAGCACCTGCCTATAAAGTCACTAAGAGTTGGATCCGACTGAATGGTTAAATCAACGACAACAGTTGCCGTAGTTTCTTTCAGAAAATATTGGAAAAGACGTCTATCTTGGGCGTGGTGTCAGTGTTTGTTTCCTCCCATCTCTGCCCAACCCTGCCAACTTTCAATCTCATTTTCAGGTGCCTGGGGACAAAAATGTAAAGATACGCTTCAATGAATTCCACCTGGAGGATCCTGGTGACTCCTCCAACTCCTGCCCCAAAGATTATGTGGAAATCAACGGTATCAAGTAAGAGACGTTATTCATTGGTAAATCTGGGTTGCCAGTTCTTGTGTATCTGTTGTGAATGGGCAAGAAGAGAAAAACTGTCTTAGGCCCTTTAATGTCTTCAAGGCTCTTCCTTGCCATCTTTTAGGATAGAAATACCATAAATGAAAGGTCCTTGC